CCTACAGTAGGACCAACCGTTGCTGGAGATAAAGTCGATGTTGCACCCAGAATAAAATCGACGCAATGTATCTCGCGACTTTTTGTAAGTGCCGCGTCGTTACTGTATAAAACCTTTATCAACTACTGAGCTTTGGTTCGATTATGGGAAAGGGTCGTACTCGATATCCTCCGCCGCTATTTCTTTTGCTGTCCTACGGTTGAGTCCCCAAATTTATTTCTATTAGTCGATCCTGTCACACAAAACCGCTCCTTAGATCCCTGAATAAGTGATGCGTTTTAGGATAAGGCTGTCAAAAGGTGCGCAAAGGGGCCGGCACCGCAATCAGATGTCTACATCATGACAACAGCTGTTCATGACACGTGCGCCCTTCCTACGACGTTCATAAATGGAACATTTTGAAAACAACACTCGAATTTTCAGGCCCAACCATCCATGCATTTCGCGAACCTGAATTTATTACACGAACATGCGTTTTTCTTATACGATCAATGGATAACTAGTATTCATTGTCGCACTACTATCCCTTTATCTAAGTAATGTTTAGATACTTTATAAAGGCATTTCGACTTTGTGACGGCTAATGACATATAATAATTTCAGCAAAAAAAAAAACAACATTAATTTCTGTAACGAAATAGTCACCAGATTATAGATTTAAAAGCAGATAAATATTGGTGTTTTTACAGTGTCTTTTCGTCTTTCGAGAGGCTCGGCGCTTATAATACTGGGACGGCTCTAATTAAAGTGGGCTTCTATTCGTGATCTTACGAAAAGCGAGCAACTAGTGAATTAACACATATCGCAACGATTGTAACTTAAAGTTAACAACTTTCACCCAGTTAGTTTTCACAAAGCCCAATCTAATGGTCGACGAATTCTAGAACAAAATTTGCTGATATCACAATGATGCATGTGACGGAATAAGACCATATATTAATACCATTAACGTAGTGCTCCAAAGCTTCTGTTGAGTACCCTTAAACCTTCCTTTATTGGCACACATATGCTGTATATGTGCGCATTCGAACCAGCGTCGTCCGGGCATCTATATCCACCCTATAAACCAGCATATATATAATGGTATCCTTTAAGTTAGTTACAAGGAATACTTCTAATGTAAGTGAAGCAGCCAGTAGAAAGGATATTGGCTCTTCAATGTTACATCAAAAATGACTGGAGCGCATGCGCTGGAAAAAGCCACAATATGAATTCAAAACTAACTAAACATATTTCCTGCACGAAAGCCTTGGGAACACTACGTAAGGCGTAAAAGTAAGAAATTCGAAATTTGCCTTCTAGATGAAACGTAGATAATACAAATGTATTATAATTTCGCTTAAATATTCATCTTCTAATCGAAATTTATTACCATTATTATTAGTATTACAATCCATATTTAAACCAAAAGTAAAGCGTTGCTGGTTCTATTCCATCTATTGAAACGCAACTTAATAACTGAGCGAGACTATAATCTGACTAGAAAGAAAGGGCATGTTCTCTTGTATTTAATTTTATTGCCCTATAGCTGACCACTGACCTAGCTCAAGGGGTGGCAAAGTTTTTAGTGAAAGGTGATCATCATTATGAATCATTTATTGGCAAATAGATTGGCCGTGGTAACCATACACTTCGTTTACTTCTTACAGCATTAGATAGTTAAAGGAACTGCTAAGTTCATAAATAAAAGTTCATTGATCAAGTGCTTCGTAGGAAAACAAAGCATGAATATGAACTGAAGTTGTCAATCGTCCTTATAAATGAATTCATTTAGGTCACAGAATCTCACCATAAACATAAAATGTAACAAAGCAAAGTGCTGTTTAATGCTACCAGATCGTACCAGTTTATCGCTCAAGTAAGAACTCCTTGAAATACAACATAGGCTCATTAATAACTAAACTTAGCTGTGATACATTGCGGTTGGAAGCAGCTGACGCCCTAGGTTGTCTGATTAAGTTGTCAGCGGACAACCTAGTGCTACTAAAGCTTCCAGAATGCCTGAATACTGACTTCAACAAGCATCTTGAGCTTTTAACTGAGCACTTCGCTGTAAGGCGATGCTCAGACAATTGAAATATCGGATAGGACGGATTGTAGCGAAGAATCTTCTCAGAGTTTGCTTCAAATGTCCTGTAAACGCTTGGCATGGTATCCTGATACAGTATTTACAGTTTACTTTGGCTAGGCAAACCCATCATTGTAGACCGCCTGAATGTACATCATGCGTTCGCAACAGCCCGGCGTGGCCATTTTTTGCTTACTTCTGAAGTGCGCGACGATGAGCGATTCCCTATTAACATCACAGCCGCTATGAAAGTCACAGCTTTAACTGATGCTATAATGCTTTATTTTGTTTTCACTTGTTCTTTCTGGGTAATTTTATTGGAGCTGCTCTTTAATAAACGATCCTCTTTAGGTTTGCACCAATGTCCTATTCGGCCGTGTTTACGTTTGCGACGGTCCTTCAGAGGAAACAGAAGATTAGAGGAAATAGCTAAACGTTGCAATACTCTAAGCAGTGTAGAAAGCCGAGATGAGGCGATCCCTGGAAAAAGTTTGGAAGAAGGTCATTACTATTATTTATGATTACTTGTTAACATTATTCCTTCGATAAATCAAACAAAAGCCTTTATGTGGATTCTACCGGAAGCGACACTATTCGTAGATACGTCCTAAAAATAAAGATCGGAAATGCGAATAATCAAAAAACACCTCGCAGGTCTAATGTCTTGGCTATGAAATAGCAAGGAAAAAATCCCTTCTGCTCAGAAAGAAAAGCGCTGAAGAATCTTTAACGCACACGGATATGCGACTGATTGACAAAATGCCAAGTCCTAAGTAGCTTTCATAAATCTTTCAATATTTATCGATTTGCCGGTATTTCTGTATATTATTAGTCATATTATCGATGAATTCATGTTATCTGACAATAAATAGAATACTCAATATAAATGATACTAAGTTGTGGTAAAGACATCTTTGACACTGCGAATGTACCGCATTTCAAATTTACCTTTCATTATACAGAAGACAAGGTATATAACAGGAAAATCGTCCATAGTGAAATCCATGATTATTAGATTATCACTTGAGGACACGGTGATACCAAAGAATTTTTCTGAAGCTTTTTGGAAGGTGAAGTTGCACATTGTGGAGTTCATTTATGTTTCTACAAGTTGATTCTCGACATGTTCTCGAAAATGGTCGACTGAAAATACCACATGTTTCGTTATTTTCTAGTGAATGACTATCCTTGTTGGTGCTTTTTTTGAAGGACGCAAAGCGATGGGTGACCTCTGCTCAAGTTATTTAGCGCAAGCTGCATCAAATCGGTCAAAATATATAAGATAGCATGCATGCACAACATGCGCGACGAAATAAAACCGGCTTTGAACTTTTTTAGTAAGTTAGCCCGGAAAGCTATCGTATCAGATTGGATAAATGCTCACACGTATAGCATAATACAAGCATAATGGGGAGTTTTTGAAACATAAACTTGTTAAATAAACATTTTGGTAGTGCATTGTAATGTAATGATTATTATTTTCATTCCGTTTCATAAAAACTAGGTTACAGATTTTTGGAGGCGATACGCAGGTAGCGTCTTGTGACAGCTATAGTGCACGTCTTACGTGGACCTCTGTGTTTCGAGTTTTACATCCGGAATCACCGTTAGGTATTCCATCAGACACGTAGACGGCTGGATCCTGCCAGTACGAAGCAAATTTAAACCTAGACCATAACGTGTCCATAAAATTAGCAGGAAAATACGTCACCTACTAAGCTATCACGGTATCATTATTTTGGCCTATCTGACGTAAAATATCCAAAGAGTAGTACAACCGCATCCAGTTACAATGCGCCAGGTTTATATAGCATACCTAAATTGTTACTGAAAAAACCTTGTTACTACCTTGTGCTATTTTACTGAAACACTGTTCACACTGGTGAACGTTAGTATGTGACTGTGATCTATATCGCTATTTTACAATATAGGGCATTTAATATCTGGATTTGTTTTATTCATTCACGGCCAGCCTAAGGTAAATTCATAAGAAAATATCGGCACACTTGTCAAGCTAGAAACACGCATGGAAGTCGCATTTTACTAAAATATCTGTACCGATATTGTTACATATCAAATCCGACTTCATATAACATGGTATATCCTTTTTTCCTAGTTTGCAAGAGGAAAAGGAAAGAGAGGATCAAGCTTGCTATACTAGTATGGACTAAACTGTGCGTCGCTCACCTGATAGAAAGCTTTTTTGCCCCTCTAAAAACTTTAAACATCGAAATCACGTTAACGGTACTTCTATGTATAGCCCTCTCAGATCAGAGATGTGCTACAAAACCTGCAATGTACTTTTAATCTACTTAACAGCAGGAATCGTTTTAGCGCATGGTTTTCTTATAGGTTATATGACTGGATGAACATGGCAAGAGTACGAGCTTTCAACATAGTTTCATAAGGTATCTACTATTTTGGATAACACGGCTAATTTAGCGACTGAATGAAAATGCACTGCTCGGAAAACACTCTTTTATATTATACTATACATCTAAAGCATGAGCTAGTTTGTATGATTAAAATTTCTTATGAATGAATATTAATTGAATGCAATTCGTATGAATCCCTTGGTTTGACGTATCGCTGACTGTAAATGTAATGCGTGAGTTACACGCTATGATAGTTTTTTTCCCCGTTTTGTATGACACAGTGACCGTACCAGCAGGTTTTGAGAAACAATAGCTGAGCGCGATATCTACATATGTCAACTTACTGTGTCCTATTGATATTAGCCGCGACCCCGCCGCCATTTTTCAGGGTGTTGTAAGCGTACAACCTAATTCTTGGTTTCTCGTTGTACGCCCCAGATGGAGCTACCTCCTTTGTTCCCTCACATCCATTCGAACCTCTTCCACTCGTCGGGCCTTTCCCAGTACACGAGGGCAAAACAGCCCCAGGCTCCCCCGAAGACTCATGTATGCGCGAAGCAGTATCATCGTCAGGTCATGTAATCTTTGTGTTCTATCGGCTACAGACGATCACAGTGTGTTTTATTTCGATCTTCGAGCATGCGACTTACCGAATTCGTTCCCCAATTATATTCGGCTCAAGGTGAACAGGCTAAAAATAGGAATCCGGTGAAGTGGCAAACATCTAGAGGCCGCTACATGTGGTAAAGTGGAGTGATTTTTTTGTTTTAGATTAGGACTGGGCCTTTGGCCCCAGCGATGTTCCCCACGATGTTACGGGATTCACAGACGCACCATGAGTGCCTCATGGATATATATGTGAGTTGAGCCCGTGGTTTAAGCAGGGATGGCTAACGAGAAAATCCATGCTTAGGTACAAACAATCGACATAATTTTAACTTCGAAAATGTCTATAGAGTAGGTATTTGATTCTGTTCCCGAGCCGAACTTTACTGTGAAGAACAAATGCATCATCCGATTGGAAGTATTACCATTTTAATTTTAGATGCTCGCGTTACTAAATTAATTTATGAAGAGCTGTCGGGATAGGATATATATCCTCAGGATGAATAATACTTTCAAACACTTACGTGTTAAGTAAAGTATGTGTTTCCAAAATGCCTATCCATTTGATCATCTTTTCTACTACGGTAAACGCACGAGGCGTTGCTGATAAGGCCAACAAGTAAGAGCCCCCACAAGTCTATGTGACAGAATGGCTAATAAACCTAGAGTGAGAATTATGATAAACTTTTTCGATGAATCATGCATTCAGTTCATAGTTGACCAACTGGATTTACGTGACCATTCTAGCTGGTACAACCTTTTCAAAATTAAGCGTTTCTTGATATGCGGACTAGTGGATCGCTGAGACCCAGTCGATCCATCCTACCTGGACTACTTGAAAAACTAACTGCAGGATAATGAAGTTAAAAGAAAGTTAAGTATGGGCTAAATGATCAACATTCGTCTGATATATGTGGCTTCGGTAACTTCAAAAGTGGCGATACTTGAAGGCTGAATTAAGCAATCGTATCTATATATGATCCTATCGTATACATCCTATAATAGAACTTAAATACGTATGTATTACTGCTTTGGATAATAAACCCTTTCAAGATTTAGCCAGTTTTTTGTTCTTGAAATTCCTCCGAGCTCAAATATTGTGACGCTTATTGACAATTTCCACCACTGAAAAATATCGTAGCATGACCTAGTTATACCTGCTGTTTCGTTGTTGACGTTTTGCTCTATAAAACGGCTTACCTAATTATAGTTCTGCTCCGCATTCACTTATTTCTAAAGCAAAAAATTTATTAGACTAAGTTAAATCTTCAAGTTGACGCGGTCAAGCCTGATTTCAATGATGTACCACCTATTATTAGGTCATATAGAGCGATATGTTTCATACGAAAATTATGGTAAAGGTCATTGTTATGAATAATTGTACGTTAACAGTGAAGCATTATACACAAATTCATAACTCCACCTATTGCTTTCAATGTGTGTAAGATAGGGGTACTATGCTGTACAGTATTGATGATATTATTTATATATGCGTGAAGATAGCAGTACGATAAATTACAACGTCAGCGAAGGAATTCCCTGAAGTCAGTGACTTCTTTAATCAATCAACGACGATGCAGATCGGTCGCAATATTACGTGACGATATTGGCACGCTAAACCCAAACAGTAATAAAATTTTTATGGGACAACAACAAATCAAGTCCGTGAATTAGATTTCCTTTTTTGTAGCTGCTTTAGATTTAGCATTATATATGCTCTTAAACTAACCCAAGTTATAAGTTATCGCAAACACTTGCCGGTATATTCTGGTTGTGCACCATCGACTGTATAGTTAGCGCATAACAAGCTCGAAAAATCGGGTCATTCATTGTGGAACGGGTGAGCTCATCAATCTATGAGCATAACGTTTTGTCTTAACGTGTTGACAGAATAATGGAAATCTCTATGAGCGGCGAACTTTTGCCGAATATGATAGCAATATGTGAGAATACAAATTGCAGAACTCAATAATCCGTCGCTGAAATATTCGGCATCTGAAACGATCAAATCTTGCACCTCCGATCGTAGTCAACCCTCCAACCGTATCGAACAAAATATCCCCTCCATCGTCGACAAGCCCTTCACGCGATCAGGGGTAAGGGCAACCGATCGAAGACCTTTAGAGCGTTTGTCTGCCCCCACGTTATCAACCCAAGTCGTCGTCGTCGTGTACTTCGAGTGACATAATGAAATCCAGCCTCCAGTTCTTCTTCTTACCGCCGAGAGGATTTAGCAGATATCGCTAGTATCGTCCTTAATAAACAATGAACAAAGTAAACGCGTTACAGGGTGCCGTCTATTAGGTTTGTGACGAACTCTGAGCTTGGTTACTGTAGAAACTGGTTTCTAAATTCGTCACAAAACAGATTGATGTTAAGCGTCAATGTTCAGTGCTATTTAGAGCCTATGACCAAGTGTCTTGCACATAGCTTTGTATAAAGTCGTTAACGGCTTCGAAGTTAAAATCGTAAAAACTGCCCGATATCGTTTCCATCCATCTATAATACAGACAAGTGCGATAAACAAATATGGTTGCTTTCGTGTTTGCACGCTAAGCGACGGAGTTTTTATCTCATTTAATAGATGTTTGTTGTTGTTATCGCTGTAATATAATTTTAGAGACGTTTGAAGCCCATGCAATGTTCAGGAACAATATCTCTAAATGTTTACTTTCTCTTCCACATGTTTACACAAGCTTAGTTATTTCTATATCTCATTCGCCTGTTCGAAAATTTCTATAGTTGGGCGGTAAATGAGTTCTTACATCGAATCGACGTCCAAAGACAGAAAGCGTTGCAGACAAAAAAAAGAGGTGTGAAGCTCCAGAAGCACTGCTCAAGAGTAGTTTGCCTGTTTTAAAGATGGAGTCCTGAAATTGTTGCCACCACGTTCTGATCGACCATTCGATGTCGGTGACTACAGCTTAAATCACCTTGAAAAAAGCCTACGTGAATTGGCGACAGTTACTGTTATGAATTGTTTCTATTCGCTGACGGCTACTGAAAATTTTTCCGAGCTAATCTGTTTTTTAAACTGCGTAAAATGTGTAAAGAAGACATTTCGCCTACTACTTAACACCAGGCGACCGCAGCGACAAAATTCTTAGAGATGATACCCCTACGTCATAGAAAGCAGCGAGTGGCTTCGTGAGCTTCTTTTTATTCCAAAGTGAAGTTAGACCTGAATCTGAAACAAAAAAAAAAAACAATTTGCATCCACTGGAGAATGTTTGAGAACAACGAGGAGTCGACAAGAATTTGTGTATGGTACAGTCGTATCGACTGCACGGAGTTTCCCAGTAGAAAAGATCTGATCGGCAAGAGAAAAAAACCACCCTTCTGCACGACAATGGTGGACCACAGCTGAAAACAGTCGATCAGATCATGGGAGAAGATTCGTTTGAGATTTTGCTCGAGTGCTAACGTACGGAGAGAATAGTGGCGATAAATACATATATATGTAATATTTATATCGTACCGTATATATATATATACGTCAGAAAGGTTTGGAATAGATGTTGTCCGTTACCATCTGACGGTCTTTTCTATGTGCCTTGATGTCCTACCCTAGACTAATACGCTCACAAGCAGAAAGTGCCCAGTGCCCAACACTTTCGCTTCCTATTCATGATGCGTTTGTTCCATTTCCTAGTCAGTGTGTACATTTATCTGTATGTGTTTCCAGTTCGGTTATGATTTTTCTTTAAAAATCGACATATCCTCTTGAATTTGTATCATCATCTGCTCTTACGCTATAATGCTGGCTCTTACAACCTGGCTACGTATGGTTATGCTGGACGAATTTTGAGCTCTAGAAGTACACTAATATATTATAGAGAGATAGTATTCTTCTACTGATTCTCACTGTTAATTTCTAGATGAGATCAGCACAAAACGTGTAGCATTAATAGGTACACCGGAGACATAAGGTTGACATTTTTATCGATCAGAAATACATCCTGTATAATTTTCATTTGACTGTGGCAGAATACGCTAAATACGACGCCAACGGAGAACCTCAACCATGACTATCTACAACAACTATTCCAGCGGCACATCGAACGGATGAGTAAGTGCCCTGCCACCTCTTGTGTTATCTATTTATTTCTATCTATCTAGCTATTATAAAAATGAATGGTTTCAGTGCTATAGTTGTCAATGATGATATATCAATCCACAGTCACCATTCAATTTAAAGAATTGCAAGTAACTTAAAGTTTGCTTTATTTCCGTGAGAATACTTGAGGATTAAGCTCTACAAGTTGATTTTTTCCTGCGATTCAAGGATAAAGAAGTTGGAGAGAGCATATCGACAATTTACGTATGTTCTGAATTAATGAAAAAATCGAAACAGATCGTTGTTATTGAACTGTTAGAGCGTTTTCGTTGAACTGACGCAAAAGTTAGCTTGCAGTATAGTATTGCTGGAACATTACAGGGCGTTTAAACTTAAGTTGCTACTGTCAGCGTTTTGGAGGGACCCACTAACGAAAACCAATTAATCGGTAACCCATTTTTGTGCGTACATACTCGACATTTACCTAGTGACAAGGTCTCCAATAATGAATGATCACTTACATAGAATCAAGGTCACCGAGCAAATACGGACGTTGTAAAAGACTGGACCAAACGCATGATCTTTCGCTCAAAAAGATTCCCATTAAAACGTACATGGGTCAGTTGCACTAACTAGGGGGGGGTGGGGTGGGGGTGAAGCTGCCCTAAAGAGGATCGGACTTTGTTGATCACGTGAAACAAGTTGTCTCCATAAATTGCGGCCATAGATCTGTACAGTTTGCGCATATACCTTAATACAATTTCAAGAGGTTAAAAACAAAAGATTCTGTCTAATATCTAGAGTCAGGCCAAATTAAACGCGTCGCCGTTGAAATCTTACCAGTCATCTGCTCTTTCTTACCATCCATTTTACTACCAGACTCAGTCTATTTTCCTGCGTACATTGTTATGCCTACACGTGCGATCATAATTTGTTAGAGAAGCCTATCTTAATTTATTAGAGAACAACATGCTTGTAATGGTCTGTCAGGCGTACATCGCAAACCAAGTATCATATCTTCCACAACCTGGAAATTTGATGAGTCAAATAAGAGTTCACAGGATCAACGTGGCTGATTCCATTGGCCTTGCCGTTCTACGTTATAGCGTAAACAAAGGCGCGTATTAATGATCAAATCAGTGTTCCGACGTCTCTAACGGCAGGCGTAAATGTACCAGCTAGTGTATAGGAAAGTTTACCCGCGTTGTTTCAGACAAGCCTATTGCTTGCTTTCTTTGTTATACTTCACTAAGCAAGCATTATGTTTAAATGCCTCCATGTATTTTTGACCACTTGCTTACTGTTAATTTTTTCTTAAATTTTCAGAATATAAAGAACGGCTCAATAATGAAATGGTGCACACAGAAATCAAAAAAGATGAATGCCCCATGTACGTCGAGGCGCAGGTAAGGCGCCACGAACTACTGAATTGCCCTGTACGAAATCTAAGGTTACATAAGCATAATCGTCTTTACGCTGAACTTTAAGGTGTTTTGAACTTGCGCTATGGTTGTCCGGCCTCGACAACTTGTAATGGCTATATTTTAAACGGGTCAAATGTTTTCTAACACTTTAGTTATACTTTTTTATTCTGCTAATATTTTTCATTGATTTGTAGTATACGGTTGTCTTAATTTATGGTATACATCAGAATTATCGGTGTGGGTTCTAGGCAAAATGGGTGGAGACAATGAAGGAACGACTACAGGTTCTTAGCGACGTCCTTGATTACCCAACAACTCGAGTAGTAAGTACCTTAAAATGCATCCATAGTTAAATTACTGATTTCTATTAAATTACGTTGGTGTAATTATTAATGCGTTTCTCCATGAGACCTCTTTCCGAACCCCAAGCCAGGAGGAAATTTTCAGTTTCTTTTGTTTACGAGACGTTTCAAAGCAGACTTGGTCCGACTTTGGCGCGGAGCCTTACCATATAGTAGTCTAATGCTGGCGTCGAATCCAGCCGCGATACATCCAGCACTACGTTCGGAACCCGAAATCTGCCAGCCTTTTAACTAAGCGAAACGTTTTTACGCGTCCTAGGAAACGTGGAATTAGAAAAACCGAGAACGTTACACAAATGCTGACTGGGACAACAAAGCGAGCAAGAAAAAAAGTCGAAATATCGATTCAGCTAGCTTCCAATACAATGACAGTAGTTCCAATTCTTAACTGACAACGCCCTAAAATACATATTAGAAAATTTGTGTTGTTGCCCCCATGTGTGCCCATCGACGATTTTACGGGCCTTTATAGTTAAGACCTGAGTAACATTTGCGCATAAACCAGATGGCAGAAGCAAACGTGACACATCGCACTCGATTCGTTCATTAAAAACAGCGACTGTAAATGGCTGAACACGATACGCTTGAGCACTGGCACCCAATCATCGACTTTCTGAGTGATGAAATCGGTAGACATCGCCGGCAAAAATCGCGGTAGACAAGCCGCACCGCGACAAAAGTGATCGATCGATCGATCGATCAACTTTTATTTAATCAATGGTTGAATCAATCATTTAAATGCATTATGTGCATATAGGCACATTAATTAAATGGCCATACACTGCTAAAGTGTAGACATTTAATTAAGTGTACAAAGATCTCTGTATCTCTTACGGGAAGAATGGAATACTTAAGCGCGACGCAACTATTGAAAGGGGCGTTGCATGATCTTTTCATTAAATTCTGGCTTTGGCTTTTTTCAGCGGGAAAATTCTGTTGAGAAGTACAGTATCCTCGCACTGTGGGATAAACACTGCGAACTTGGTAAGTTAAATGCTTTCATATTAACTAACAACATAGTTCAAATGAAGTTGTCATTTTTAACCTTAATTTGTAAATCGGAGTGTAAATCAGAAGATAACAATACTGTTTCATAGACAAATGTATTTATTTGAATTTCTATCATTCTGATTTCGCCCTTAGTGTCAAGTGGGAATACTAAAATAGATGTTTCGAGTTTTACGTCCGGTACTGTCGCTAAGCGTTGCTTTAGATGGCCGATGTCGGATAGGAATGTTAACTCACTGATTTTTGTTTCTATTGACTACTTCTTAGGCAGGTGAGAGTCTCAGGCGTAGAGAATAGTTGAAAACATCATGTGTTGCAGCTAATGATAGCGAAGTTAAAGTTGACACCCATGAAATATGATGGCTCGAGCTTATGGGAATCCTATTTTTCTTCTTCTTCAGATTTGAGAAATGGGAAATAAGGAACATAGTTTGAATTTTATTTGGCGCGACCATTCCTATATTTTTTGGCCTTATTAATACGAATAGATTTCGGGAAGTAACAGATTCATCTCACCACTTCGACATCAACCCCTTTGCAAGTTTAAGGCTACGTCCGGTAGAACAGAATAGCAACTGTTGAGAGGATTGCGAAAATTGATTTGGAACCAGTTTTTCGGCCAGTTTTTTTTAACTAGATTCGCCAACCGTGAGGGCTTAGGAACCAGCTCAGTAACTGCAAGTTACGATTTTAAAACAAACCACAATTTAAGCTTGGACTTTAAAAGTTTTGTCTCCTGACACAAACGAACAGCCACACAAGACGGCTATCGTATGCCCTCTTCTCAAAGGGTGTCACTAGGTCAATGAGAATATTGACACCATCCGATGGTCTACTAGTAAACGGTATTTAATATATATTGCCGTAAGAAAAGAAATTATCCTTATTCTTATTTAAAGTGCTGTATCTTGCGAGTACCATGATGTCCCTGAAAGGAAGTACATCAGCGGGTATCCGCTTTCAATCCTGTTTGTACGGGCTCTTAACCGAAATGTATTACTCTACCCATTGATTAGAACCAACAAATCAGTTTCCTCAGAAAGTTCAATATCATAAGTAATTTTACTATGCTTTAAGTTATATTGGAGTTTCTGTCGTTGACACGCGTACTATTTTGATCAGGTAGGCGTCTACTAACATTGATCTGTATATGATCATATCGTCTATCGATAAAACGAATTTGCTTATGCGTTTCGTGTTCGACGGCGCCTGGGGGCACAGGAAAGGGCGGGAATCCCTTTTTAATGCGCGTTACAATAGTAGTGCGACTAGCAAAACAGCCGTTTTTACTATACTACGCAAACATGCCTCCGGTCTGCGCATTGTGCAAGGTAGATACAATTCCTACGCGTAATTGACGTCTTGCTTTAAAATATTACTAAGGATGAATTAAATTATATACCGTAGTTTGCCTACCTAGCTTATCGACGCGTTTTGTATGTCTATCTGATATTTGTGTTGGCCAATAGCGGGCATTCGGGCGACGTTTATCAAGATTAAATTATTAAGATTAAGTTATTCCTTAAAGTTTGCATGACTAGATGCTTTCTAAGGAAGGTAGCAATGGCACAGTCTGACAAACGGGCACATAGTTAATATGCTATTGGCTCACCATTACATTAGCCAAACGTGCTTTTATTTGCACGAATTTCCCTGTTAATAACGAACGCCTCGTTATATATTGACAAACGCTGGAATGCCCTGTCATACATGCTGACTGGCCCCCCACTGGTAGGGCGAACGTTGTGCAATTTCTACAAACTTATGAGGCTTACAATTTCGATCGATGTTCATGACGATCAAGTTTACTTCCTTTGATATGAACGCTATAGCATCTAAAAATGCCGTTTACATGACCTGGCTTAATAAATATGCCATTCACAATGTGGCTCTCGTCAAGACTTACCTCTTTCTATTACCATGACCGCACTTCCACCCTATATTCAAAAAAAAAAAAAAAAAAAATATATATATATATATATATATATATATAATAGACAATAAGAAAAAAAAGCTCTTGAAAATGCTGCGATAAAAGACTTGTAGGTAAATACATTTCCATGTTTAAAGCATGCGAGATGGGTGTATGTATTGAGTGGCGAAAATAAGCGGTCGCTAAATTCGATGTTCGCAGGACAGGCGTTTACATGGCTCGCCTTGAACCTTAGAATGACTGAGCCGTGTATTCAGGCACCCAAAATCCTACGTACTGTTAGATAATCCAGTAAAATCGCTTCGGACCTTGAGTGCACCTAAGAAAGAGTATGACTAAATATTCCAGCTTATTAGAGCAAGATTTGCTGATTAATTAATTTATTTTATTAATTAACTGATTAATAATAATAATAATAAATTATAAGTAAAAAGGTACCAGAGCATATTGGACTATTCGGCCTTTTGATGATTTTTGTATAGGTGCAAAAAAAGGTGAGTTTGAAGCAACGACAATGAATAACAATATAGTAATAGAAGGAAAAGGTATAAGAAAGAACAGATTATCTCAGGCGTTCAAATTTCGCACGATTAGTCAACCAGATTGCAACAAGCGAGACGATCAGAGGAAACCCATCGTTCTTCTTGTGCTGAGATGCCGCCATCTGAAGCTAATGGTTGACGGCTATAGCGGACGTTAAACTTTGGGGGTTTATCTAGGTAACGTTACAGTTACTCAATCACTAAGGTAATTCTTTATGCAGAGTAACGCTCATATCCGTAGCTGGCAGTAAACAAACAAACAAACAAACAACAAAAAACAGCTAACCACAATTTGCTTTGGGTGAATACTTAACGACGAGAAGAAAAGGCCATACAATGTCATACTTTCAGCTCTTAGAGCGCCAGCCACGTGTATATCCTGGGAGGCTGGTGCATCGCGAACTGCCGAAATCTGTCTCTGTAGTTGTTTTACTAGTTAACAGTCGTTTTGCGAACCGGCCACTGTATTAAACTGCATTGCTTTGAGCTAATCAGAAGTAGTAGTATATTGTATAGTTGTATGTATATATAGATATACAAATATTATTCTTCTATGTCTTCATGATAGAGCCATTGGATCCATTAGACAATCAGTCCTTTACTTTCACAAATAAACTTTACTGTTGTTATTATTGTACCTCTGTCTTTTATAGCTAGGCATAAGTATGGGATTGGGGCTGTTGTCGCCAAATTGTTATTATAGATTCCTCTATAATTTGTCTTTGTTTGTCAATACTAAAGTTATTTGAATCCTACCCTGAATTTATCGAGATCGTTCTATACCTTTCGTATATAAATTACCTACTCGATGTTTTTGGGATTTTACCAAACTGGCCATGAAAAAACATCGCTGTCTAGTTGTATACTAACGCGAAATTCTTATTTAATACCAAGCTAATAAATCTAGGTATGTTTTGGTCGGTGGTATTATTCCCTCTGTAGTACATGGTAGATTCGAATGCAAACTGTATAATGCAAATAGCAACCCATTTGTTAGTTAAACTTAATTTAGAAGAGATATGGGCCTTTTCAGAACGTTTGAAAGGAAACGCCAAGACAGGGGTTCATCCCAGAAGGCTTACAAATGCCGAAAACGGTGTAGCAGTAGTCGACGCAAAGGCTTAATAACGAGTTGATCGTAGCTAATTAATTTAATTAGGATTAACTAAAAAAGAAAAATTCAAAGCTTTAGGTGAACCTAACACTGTCGTCGGTGGGTTTTGCAATTTATATCTCAAACAGACTGATTATAGCATTATTTGTAATCAAGTCCAAATTTGGTTGTTTTCCAGATATCAACTCCATAGGCCACTTTATCTCAGCTGAAGAACTGCGACCTCTCATCAAACCTTTGTAAGTCATTAATATACCTATCAATGGTCATAATAGCTAATGAACAAATTCTTAGTTAAAGTCAACTGTAGTTTGGCGCAATTTTTTGCGCTACATCCATCTCGACCCATTGTGAGGTTCGACTCTTAAGAATGCCTTATAAATATAAACTACATCGCGTATGAGAAAATGGAAAGGGCGACGCAACAATTTTGAATATTCTATTTCTCTATTAGTCTATCGTGTAATCCCATTGCCCAACAGTGAATCTCGTCTCATTTCTCAGTCGTAGTATAATAAATTCAAATATGATTCCATGATCTCCTAGTCTTCGCCCGAAACCCGTTTTGATTGAAATTTTTTACTTTTTTTAAAAATTTTGATTGATTGATTGAAAAAAATTAGTGCAAAAAAATGTGCTTCTCCCAGAGTCAATAGTTAGTATCGTTCGTTCAGTGGAAATGGCTTCAGTTTCAATTGAGTATTATTGGCTGGACGAAGTCCCGGCCGAAATATAGCTTCACCAGTTATTACAACGCGTGACTTGCCTTGGAAGTTACGTTGATAAGTGCGGCCCACTATGTGAATGAAGCATAGCCCATGGAAAAGCCTCAAAAACAGCCTTTGATGAAGTTCACTTACCGTACTTGTTCTAATGAGAGTGCGACGGGGAGTATCGCCGGCCGGCCGGACGGACGGGGCGCTTAAATAGGCTGCGGGAAAAGGTTTTGAGAATCTTTCAGTAGTTCCAGTTAAGAATTTATTTTGTATTATCCTCTGCGAAGTAGACTAAAATGAAGCTCATTTATATTTCCATGCTTTACGGGGTACCATAACTCTTTGCAAATGTCAAATATTCCGTCGAAGTAACAATTAATAAATTATGAAAAAAAAACCTCACTGGCGGTACAAGTGGTTTAGAGCTCATATAATAGCATGCTATAGCAATTCTATTTAGTTACTAAATATACATGTCGAAACTAATACTTACGTTTTTATCATATATATATTAATCTCGGCCATTTTTACTACTTACCAGCTTATATTTGGGTGCGACTTGACGTCATAGCTAATCATCTACTGTTATCTTCTGCAGGCAAAAACAGCGTCCGAGTCTCAACCTCAACGAATTGCTCGAGTACTTTCAACCCCTTTTAGGTGCGGCGACATCGGACGAAACCGAGGAACAGGTGAGACCATGATTCGAAATAATTCAAACTCTGTATATATTATTACACTGCCGTAATAAACAATGCCAAAAGAACGCTTTGCTTGACCACGATTTTGTCGGGCCGCTACGACGTAGCAAAGCTACAGCCGCTTCTGTTAATCGGACGGGTGAGAAACGTTTAAAGCTACTTCAAATCAAAGGCACTGCCATTACCTTGAGGAAGGCAAGTAATGGGGTTTACTTTAAAAGGACTAACTAATAGTTACATTAATATCGTGTATAAATACTTTGAGCGTAAACCACATTATTCGAGTGGTCTGTGACGAAATGTATGGGCAACTCCCCATAAAACGGTTGCTTTACGTGTGCGTGCACGCGTGGAATAACAGAATCTATCTGACTATGTTTTCTATATTACTGTTGTGATTGCCATTTGCATGACGATACGGTGCCTAGGTGTTAACGAGTTGCGATCATGGACGAGTTCGTAAACTGCTACAGACACGGGGATGCAGTAACGAAAACAGACTGCGCTTATGGAGTCTTGTTCTTGGACTCTCGAGCTCGGCGGACGTAAGTGCCTCTATATTTCGAATTTTACGTCCGGCATCGCTGTTAGGCATTCCTCAGACAGCTGGCTCTCAGCACGAAAGCAAGTCTGTCTGTCTGTTTGTCGATGCCCGGGTTCGAATCTAGGCCACGACGTGTTCCGCACTAACCTATCATGGAGACGAGTACCCATAGGACGATTAATTTTATTGTTATAAAATCACATAGAGAATCTATGAGTAAAACGTTCTTGCATGCTTCGATTGAATGAAATGTTAAAAGCGTACACTGTATGTATGTGCATACATTGATTTGTGTATGTTATATTAACCGCTTTCACCGAGAACGCAAATCCAATCTAGCTAAGTAGAATTTAGTTAATGGGAAAATGTTCCCTTGTGGATATTTTCACACAGCGGCATTTCAAGCCATTAAACACAACGACGCAGCTGGGCTTGCTGATTCTTGCTGACCCAGAGTGGACACAGAGGGTAGCATTCAGTATTATATTGATATTAGTATGACTGGTTTGCGATATACCTGAACGATCAGCGTGTATCAGACATGAATATTTATCCTACATATGTAGCATATTGTAATGATAGGAACATACCGCTGAGACCAGTCCTGGAGTGAAATGTAGCACGAAACTCGCATGCTTATTTAAACAAGCCACTCATCGGACATACAGCAATAGAGCAGTATCGATTCACAATTCGATAATCTGTATAAATGGATAATTCTAAAGATACTTCGTTGTTTGATCTTTTTCAACGCTACAATCGCCCGGCCAAACGTTACGCGTCAACACGCGCGCCCAAAACATTACTGCCAGAACTGTTTAGCAGGTAAATTGGTTATTCGGCCACCAAATGTGACTTTTCACCGACACAATAGTCTGTTCATCTATATTTTCATAGAAACGTTATTAAATAAAATTTAGTGAATTAGAAAGCAGTGATTTATTTTATAGGGCTACAAACATTGTCAGCCAAAAGAGGGACTCGTCATTTTAAAGGGCTGGATTCAAGTGGACTGCACAAGATTTCTCACCACAACGCGTCGTTGCCAACGTAGGGCTTTGATGAGGTAACATTAATTAAGTCAACTTGGAACTGCGTTGGCGTATGAACACCATAAGACGCTATGGTGTCGCTCGGTTAGTTAAGTACCCGGTCCACTCGTTTCCTGCCTTAGTACGACTTTGAGCGTACGTATATGCTAAACGTCATTTCGTCACTCATAAGCGTTTAACAATGATTAACATAAACGGTACAGGTACCAGGCAGGGAAAGCAGTAGGGATTGCCTTTTTTTTTTTTTATACAACAAAAGCATTATTAAAGCAGCACGATATTTTTGATTTCCTCGCATGCTCCCCCTGAGTCCCCATTTCTCTTTTTTCCCATAAGGATCCCCTTACGCTAAAAATTTCACATCACGGCAGTTCCTGCACCACCCTCCTTCCACTGTCACTAGTCGGCTCCGAGTCCAGCTCCGCCCTCGAAATGAGACCACTCCAGTTACGAATGTCCTCTACTCCCATCGTGATAGATATCGCAAGATAGGCCGTGTACGCTGCTACTGACCTTTGAAATACACAGTTCAAAGCCGGGCCGGACGACGCCCATTTGATTAAGGCCCATCAGCGGACCAGTTTCAGCATTCAGCATGCCCTCGCCTTGGTGACAACTAACGTCGCCTTCGTTAGGGATAGTGGCTTTGTTTTCTGGAACGAAACCGTTATAATATATATACGCAATCGTGCCTATCAACTGATTGGCTACACAAGCGGCGACGATGGATATTTTCTTAGAATTTGAACAGAACCTACGTCGCAGGTACGCCATACATATCGCTGCTTGACTCGGTAAGCGTCACGCTGAGCAGTGATAAATGTAATCGGGGGTTGCCAATACACGCTTCGCTTGCGCAGCCATAACCCTTCCGAATCGGCGCGGCATGCACGGCCCAATTACATGCTGATTGATCCAGAAGATTAGATGTATTCATTGCTTGACTTTTACTTTGTCAACGTTTTGAAGGACAGCCAGGTTATAGGATACTGCAGGTTCCGCGGCGAAGCAAGCGGAGAAAATGAAATTGAAGAACGTGAATTTTGGCTTCACTGTGAGATTGGTGGCATATTATAGTACTTATATAGCAATCTCTTCTATTATTGTCATACAGTAACGCCAGTTACGACAGTAACGAACAGGTGATGGCGCTGAGCAATCGGCCACGGGGGCTTAGAGCAAAGGAACGCGTCCGCTGTAATTTACCACAGATTTCAATGTCACTGAGTATTGTACTGCATGTGACACTGACACTTCAGATTAAGTGAGATATTCAGATCAGGGCCCAGAGAAGTGTGGGATAGTCCTAATTCTTCGTGGCTGGTTTCGCCTTTACGCTATTGTAGTTATTGAGGTCGTGATTTGATTTACTATCTTGACGAATTTATGTGTAGCATCGTAGCGGAACTGATATGCCATTATTTGGAGCGTCCTTGTTCGTCTGTGCGTGTGACAAAATCACCAAGTTTCGAACGGTACGAAATGATAAGATGCGCCAGTCTAGCACGTACATACCCCTTCCAAGCTAGCTCAAACGGCTCTTAATCGTAGCAGTATAACATTAAATTGCTTGTTACTCGGAAGTACAGGTAAGAGTTCGCAAGAAAACCACTGTTTATACCCTGAGTGTTCCTTTGTGACTATAACATACTGTAACAATTCGAATCATCAATGCGCTTATTCCTAGCGAGGCACTTAATGGTAGACTGCATGCCTATTAAGTTAAGAAATGTACACTGGCTGGAGTTTTTTCTTACTTTCCTATTAGAGTTTGTAGAAGCTGCATTACGAAATCGTTATCCTTGATGTTCTAGAGATGGGTTAAGTTAATATCAAGTCATATTAGATTGAGCACTGTTTTTCTAAACGGCTTGATTACGAGACTGCACGATCTTTTCCTACCTTAGAGCTAGCACTCATTTAGCAGCGTAGGTAGATATTTTTTTAATGAAATCTAGGCTAGGATAATGAATCTTAACTTTTAGGGAATATCGACATCGCCAATTTCACTACCTCTACCAATATCTGATACGTTTAGTCGATTTTATCGATACGGTTTATGGGTAGCGACATCTACCGTATTTAAATCCCTTTCAAGAATAAATGCCTATAAGGGCTAACAGATAGAAACTGCTATTTTGCCTATAATCCTTAAGCAAGGCCTTAACTGTAAGAACGACGCTTTAACATTGTCCGTAAGTATCAATCCGTATTTCAGCTGAGGTGCATTTTTCTGTTATGCTTAATAGCGTCGAAGGAGATATTGCAATCGTACTGAAATCGCTGCCAGATTAGGCCCACCATGATGGGCAATCAGCCTAACAGGTTTACTAAGGCTGATTAGCTTTTAATGAAATTAGGTTGACTTGACGCGAAATTTGACGTCGTTTTATAAGCGAAATTTGTCGACTCCTTTTTACAACAAAGCAAATGTAAATTGATTCGTACGTTTTGTATACAAGTAAGCTTAATAATCACAATTAGCGACAAGCTCAATATAATATTAAAAATAACTGGCTCTACTCACATAAACAGCTCAATGTTTATGTGTTGATGCGACTCGAAGTACCCCTTGTCGTTTTCGACCGGAGGTTGTTCTATCAAGTCACCGCGTAGTCCGAAGACATATTTGTTTCTGTACCACTGTAAGAACTTTTAGTAAATTACAGGATAAAGTATCGGCGCCGCGTACTCTATGGCTTGCAACTGTTGTAGCAGTCCTAATCTCGAATCTCTATGAGCCTACCGTGTTGTAGATAACCTATTTTACTCTCCATACGATACAACAACCCAAGGGCAGGAACTGTTTTGGCGATATGGTGGTTTTGAATAGAACTGCGCAAGCGGTGCGCTATAAAACCTTTCGAAGCAAGACAGGATTGTCATGGGTGATGGCAGTACGCTGTACATGGGACGGTTACTAATTCTGGACATTAATAAAAGCCGGCTTACTTCTTCGTGTTTCAAGCACGCAAAAATCGTATAGATATACCATTTCTCCTGCGTTCTTCGCTGTACTGCGTGAACGCTAACTATCAACTGCTGGGTAATATTCATTATAGGTTATAGCTGCCCTTTGAATTTCGGAAGTAGACGATAATATATTCAAGGACTGGCTAAGGCTCCATTTGCGGGGACATTTAGGACCCTGTACGGCGCAGTTTTTTTGTAATGAATCCAGGCGGAAGGTAAAATAGGTTCCTATTTACACGCACGCATGCGCCTGTTAGACAATGCCTCAATACAATCACATGCGAAACTTGACAAGTTTATTTTCCTATTACTTTTATTATTGTTCACTCTAATAGTGCGCAGTTCAATATAGACATACGTGTACACGTTAGTGAGGGGTTAAGTTCACTTTTTATTGGAGATGTCCACTGCAAGTACTGCCGTCGCCTTGCGCAGTGCAGAACTGTAGTACTACTTCATAATTATTATTTATAGTGTTAATAATAAATGATCAGTCTTGCGTCGTCAGACATAGGATTAAACTATCTACTTAACTATAGAACATACATGAAAACAATCTTGTAAATGCTTTAAAGATTACTTTATTATATACTTATATATATATAGCTTTATTTTATACACTACAATTCTAACATTGTAGATCTCTCCCTTATCATGATAACAATGGATTTGTGATGTAACACTTAATTCTCTGTTCTTTATTGTGGAGTTCACTTTTCCTATAGGACTTCCTGCTGATAGGAAATACTGAGTTGGTAAACGATTTTCCAGCACAACAGTGTCCTGCATTCGGTGATGCCAGAAACGGAACCGGAAAAAGCCACCATACCGCTCAGAATCGGCTTTTGTTAGGCCTTCTTTGGCAAGGCTCTGAAGAGTCAGGAGATACAACATGATAGTTAAAATATTGATTGCTCACTTCATGAAGCGCACATGCAATTAATCCTCGTTGCTCTTATATTTAGCATGGTTTACTCGAACGTGGTCAGCACAAAAGTGTACCCACAATCTTGTTTGAACCATGCGCCGTACGTACGTGACTTCGGATGGCCAGCGCTTATAACAGTCTCACTTTATTCACAATTGAAATCCTACTAGCCACTCTGAATCCGTTATGGGTGACATCCAGATTTGCCAAACATTTTCTGGACCTGAACGCAGTTACATCGTACGCCAGATTTCGAAGTGAAGATCTATGGCGCTGTGTTAAACACTCACCGGGTTTTCCAAATTGCATCAGGTGAATTCAGTGCGTAATGTGATTGAATAACCCTCAAACAGGTTCAGCTCAAACGACGTTTTTCTAATATGTCTCACAGGTATTCTCCTTTAATTACGAACTTGTCCTCCCGCTCTAGGAGCTTCTAAACAGCTACATATCTACCATATCCGTTTCCATATGCAGTTTCTCTATCCAAGACTTCTCCAACTTCATCGACAGCGGAACATGCGTGCCGACCCATTGGCGATTTTAGGGCACGGAAAATTCGGTAATAGAGACAGACGTCAGGGGAATAAGCGGGTTGAAGCCAACGTTGAATAAATTATAGCTTACTCTGGGAAATAATTTGTATCTGCCAATGAGGCCTGGCGTTGAGTAAGTGGACCGCATGCGTTCGACTGTCGTGCCAATTGTCCGTGAGCCTATTTTTTTCACTTTCGGCGAAGATCTCATAGTAGTAAATGTTTCTGACGTCCATTACGAGTATTACCGATATCGTACGTCCGAACCTACTCAACACTGCCACTCTCTGGCCTGGTTCTTTTCGAGCTGGCGGTAAAGATTGAACGATACGTTTGCCTATAGCGATCGTATGCTTCAGGTGCTTTTTTTTCTTAATCATTGAACTTGCGCAAATTTCGCGTCAAAATCACTTATTTCTAGCTAGCCTGAAGCCACTACACGGAGAAATAATTTTTTACTCAGTTTCCATATTTAGAATTCTGGTACTCATTACACGTGAAATATCAATTTTAGCCTACGGAGTTTTTAAGCTTTAAGCCCTGCTTTCCTGGAAAACCTTGTTGATTGTAGCATTTGGTCCTTATCCTTCGAGCTCCGACACCTGGCTGCCTCCTCGCTGATCTCCAACACTCCGGTCTCCGTTATTATTGTCCCAGAAACGTTTGATATACTATAGTTTCGGCTAGAGCTTCCTTGTTCAAGGCCTTCATCAATTTTCGATGAATTTCGCAATGCTGTGGCTTTCGAGGCAGCGACAAAGACATGATCACTGATTGTTGATTTAAGTGGTTCTCATTCAAGGGCTTTTAAAAAAACTAAAGTATTTACCAGCAAAACTTAGTGTGCTAGCAACATCTGGTACAAAACTAATCCAGCCTCGATGTCCGGATCCGCTTATAACCGTCAACACTGTCAACGATAAAATTCTATAGCACAATTTTGTAGAGGAAGCATTTCTATTGCATTGATGCATTAAATTGACAATTATATATA